CCCCTCGCTGGATTATGGGAAGAAGCCAGCCCTGGTGAGATAAAAGAGAAGAACATTCCAGCTGGAGGAAGCAGGGGCCCCTGGGAACCTGGGAGGTTTATTTCTGCATGGAGCGACACTCTGGGGGATCTGATCAGTAAAGCGACTTTCACTTCAACACATTTTCCCCCCTCCCTTTTGAGGCCTGTTTGCTTAAATTGGATTCTTAGGAGCAGAGCTGAACTTTGTCAAAACTGGGTTGCCATGGGGGCCCCTGTACCAAGGAGCTCCTAGAGAAGGGACACCCCAGATGGCCTTAACCATGACGGGGGGGGGGGGGGGACACAGGCGGTTCAGATAGCAAGTTCTGTGTTTTCTGAGCTTGCTGTTGAATTTTTTAGTCCTTTATTTCACTTACCCACATTTATGCCATGAAGGTGAGGAATAGCGATGATTTGATCCAAAACCACTTCTGTTCTCTCACCCTCACTGCCCATCGACTCTGGATTTTAACACACTGTAAATAAGATTCCCCTCAACGTGTTTATCCATATATGCATGTATCTACACGTTTCTTCCTCAGTTGCTTTGCTGCTTTGGCTTGCTGGCGGGTTTGACCTTCCTGGCATAGAGGAGTTTTTCTGTAAGGAAAATTCCGTCCTTGATGAGTTAATAAAATATCAACACTGAAGTGAGTCTTGTTCCACGTGACACGCCTGTGGGTTGTGTGGGGGACAGACGCCCTCTGTATCTTCTGCGTTCTGGCTCTTTGTGCATTATCAGTGGACAGTAAGGACCATCCTAGCTAAACCTAAGCCCGAAAGCCGCTGGAGGCCCCACATTCTGTTGTTTTCTTCCCTGGGGCCCCGGGAACCCTATTCTGTCTCCAGCCTACCCCCTGGATGGCTCTGAACTCCCTTAGTTCAACCTATAATTTTTTTCCCCTATTTTTATGGCTGCACTGGGTCTTCGTTGCTGGGTGCAGGCTTTCTCTAGTTGCAGCAAGTGGGGCCACCCTCTAGTTGGGGTATGCAGGCTCTTCCTTGTGGTTTCTCTTGTTCTGGAGCACGGGCTCTAGGCACACAGGCGCTGGTTGGCAGTTGGGTCACATGGGCTGGGTTGCGTCACGGCATGTGGAATCTTCCCAGACCAGGGCTTGAACCTGTGTCTCCTGCATTGGCAGGACTCTTAACCACTGGACCAGCAGGGACACCCCAACCTAAATTTCCATTTTAATGTGTTTTCACCTTAGTAACCAAATGGAAGGTGTTCTTGGTCAAAATGTCCCCTGGTGGAGGAGTGAGTGGGTTCCACCTTGCGGTCATGCTCAGCCGCTGAGTGCTGGCCCTCCTGGAGCCCCACTGCCCTTGGTGGGGGTCTCATCCTGCGTGCCCTATCCTGCACCCCAGCCTCCTCCTTTCCACAATACCCCTGGAGGCAGATAATGTCATTCTTGAGCACATCTGTACCTCCCCACCCCACTTTCTGTGTTTTAGTAACACCCACTCATTTTCCTTGTATCAGACATTCTGGAATGAATCATCGATTCTGCAAACGTGGCCACGCGGCTAAGAGTGCTTCCTCCATGGGTTTGTCTTCTGAGTTGTGTCATTCAAACTCTCTTGGCCCACAAAGCAAAGTCGCACCTTTGTTAATCCCCTGGGACTCTGCACACAAAGCCAAACCACAGACCTGCCCTTTCTGGGAAGCACTGATTCTGGCCTCTTTCAACAAGATACTGGTTTGTCTTGTTCTTTAGTTCCTGCTTTCATCTGAGTCTCACAAACGCTTAATCACTTGGGAGCTTGGCTTATTCCTCTGAGGGGTAATTTATTTTACTGCCATTTTTTAATATCTCATGCCCTTATTTTTCATAACCTCCCTGAGAAAGTCATCAGGCAAAAAGTGCTTTTTATTTGAACAGCAGTCGGCGCATTTATCTTGGAGGTTCTGAAATTGTAGAATGTTCTGCCGTGTCCCACTCTGTCGTCTCTGTTTGCGTGTTTGTTTTTCATTCAGGCTGGGCTGGCTTCTCATAATAATGTGTGGTATTTGTCGTTGCTGACTTCGGAAAAAGCAATAAACACTGAACATCCTGTTCACGTGCAGGCGGTGTTTCTGTAAAGCCCCTTTAATCAGCCGAGCATGAGTTTGTGTCCATTCAAATGAAGATGTACACATCGTAAAATGGCAGGAGAGCATGATAGGGGTTTTCTTTTCACATGACAGGAAGGTTGGAGGAGAGGAGGAGCTTGTCAGAAGAGGAGGTAGTTCTCTTAAGGCTCAGTTCCCTAGGATGCCGGGACCTGGAGAGGGTGTGGCTTGTTGGACCGCTGTCTAGTTTCCTGTATCCTCTCCTTTCTCCAAAGTGATGCTGCTGAAGGCACGGGCTGCGTGCTGCCTGGTGCCAGGGAGTTGAACATAGCAACTGAGTGGTGAGCACATTCAAGTGGTTGAACAGAGTGATGTCTGTTGAGTAAATTTGAGCTTGTAGTTTATGTCTTTCATTTTTCCTTTATAGTAATTATCTGATAAAAATATCCATTTGTAAAAGACAGAAAATCTAAAGTGAGGGAGAACCAAATGCAAATTGGATCCTCATCTCACTTTGAGAAACACAGCTCTTCTCTGATTTTGAAGCGAACTCTAGACATAGTATCATTTTATTTATAAATACTGATATTTCCTTTTGTGTTTCTAAAAGGTTTCCCCATTTTCTGCATAACTGCAACATTATACTAGGAACAGAACCCCCCCCCCCCCCCGTTCCTTTATTTTGTCACATATCCAATAAATGTATTCCCCACCCCCAACGTCCACCCCCAGAAGAAACAGCTCTTAAGTCTCTGAATCAGTCACCCCTGCCCCATCTGATCTTTCTGGAAGGTCAGTCCCCTGGCTTGGTGACTTTCCCAGAACTCACTTCTGTTCACTTACCTTCTGGATAGTCTGCTGCCCCCCAAATTTCCCTCTTTGTTCCCGATCACACAGGAGAAACAGAGGCATTGTTTTATTCCCTCAACTGTTTATAACATTTGGAATTTCTGTTAAAGGCATTTACCTTTCCATGAATACTGTGTTCTAATACTGTGTTCTGTAGCTGTTTCCCTCTGGTTATTCCTAGGTTCTGAAGTGCTTTTGGTTAGCTGTGATGTTTGTAGATTTTAAAGGCAGAGGCTTGTTGTCCAGTTAGTGAGCAGCAGTCATGCTGTCTTCCTTCTGATCAAATGTCACTTTGTGTTGGGAAGATGACCTATTCAGGGGTGTTTTTAGTGTGTTGTAAGAGAGGCAAGGGTTGATTCTGGGCAGGACACGGGAGGTTAAGCTTAAAGGATAATTTTTACTTAGTAGAAAATGTGTTTGTGTGTGTGTGTGTGTGTGTGTGTGTGTGTGGCTTTGTTGAATACTAGAGTGCTAACTTAAAATGGTAGGGTATTTTGCACATCAGCAGTTGAAGATACTCGGCTTACTATTTTATTTAAGTCCAGCAGTAGTTAAGGAAAGTCATGTATGCTTTAGAATTATAAACACATGTTGTACTCAGAGCAGCCTTGAGTTGGGGTGGCTTTATCAGTCCCGCACAGTGAGTGATTGCAGTTTGGGTCTGAGCAGATCTCCTTAAAGCCCCGTGCCACGGGTCTGCCTTGGGTTCTTGTTGGTTTCCCCTGCTCTCAAAGATTATTTCTTGAGCATCTTCACGAGCAGGGCCAGAGGGGTGGTTTAAAGCAAGACACATACAGGTTCACACCCTTGGAGGTGCTTACTTTTCCATTAGGCATTGAGATCTTGAAAATTCAAGGAAAAGCTAATAGGCAATTTATGATAAAGGTCAAATCAGTTCTGCAGAGAGTAAAAGTCCTCAGGTAGAGAAAGGAAAACTAACTGTTGGCTCTATAGCATTTAAGAAAGAAGTAAAGAAACCTTTGCAAGGTTCATTAGGATTCACACTAATGGATTGTCTGGCATGTAAGGCGCTAACCTTGGCGGTAGTCGTCAGAGAACCCGCCTGTCACTGCAGGAAACGTAAGAGATATGGATTCAATCCCTGACTTAGGAAGATCCCCTGGAGGAGATCATGGCAACCCATTCCCATATTCTTGCCTGAAGACTCTCCATGGACAGAGGATCCTAGTGGGCTACAGTCCACAGGATCACAAAGAGTCGGACATGACTGAAGCAACTTAGCATGCACACACCCATGCATGCTGACTCATAAATTGTGTAAATGAACAAGATCAAAGCTGTGATTTGTAGACACCAAGTGGATGAAGTACGAAGTCGGTGTCTGTGTAGGATGGTAATAGGGACAAGGCCTGAGGTGGGTTAAAGCCAGTTTTCTGAATCCCTCGGGACTTTAGGCTTTCTGTGCAGGTAGAAGGTAACCCATGATTTGGCCGTGAATGATGGGTTTTGAATAGACTAGGAAAGTAGATTCTGTGCCACTTCCCCACCCCACCCCGTATTATATGCTTTATTTAATTAGTGTAGGGAATTTATGTGGCTGGATTGGAATCACAAGAGCCTAGAGGTGGGGAGAGCCCGCCTCTGTCAGAGCCCACCTGACAGACCAGGGTGGGCGGAGTGTCCTTACATGAAGGGCATTGTGCATGTGTTTGTGACAGTATCCTATTAGAGCTCAGACTGCTAAGTAAGTGTGGCAGGTGGTATACAGAAAGCACCAAAGCTGTTAATCCCATATCATCTCATACGGCATGCTGGTTTTGAAATACCCAGGCACACACGTGGTTTGCACAGGCATGCGCTTGTGTGCACACATACACACATGATCATGGTGTATATTACATATCAGTTTAGAGAACAGCCTTTTAAGCAAATTTATTGCCCTTTAAGGCAGGCTTGTGGTTTATGAGAATGTGAGAGATATACAGAACCTTAATTAGAAACAAAGAATTTGCTTGAAACAAAGAGTCTGTCTTCGCTTTTGTGTCATGATTTTATTGCTGCACGTAGATCTTCCTATCTCTGCTTAATTTCTTTTTAATTTTCTCTTGCTCTTCCAGGCCCAGGCTGCAAGCACAAAGGAAGTTTGCTCAATCCCAGCCGAATAGTCCCAGCACAACTCCAGTCAAGATAGTGGAGCCATTGCTACCCCCTCCAGCTACTCAAATTTCTGACCTCTCTAAAAGGAAGCCTAAGACAGAAGATTTTCTTACCTTTCTCTGCCTTCGAGGTAAGATTGTGTTGCCAGTTTGAAGGGGGCAGCCTGGTTGAAATGAAAAGGGACACGGCCACCCCCAGGTGTTGCCGTTGACCGTGGTCTCTCTGCCGCACACCCGCGGTTTCCCAGGCTGGTTGAAGTGTAAAATGAGGGTCGCGCCCAGAAGGCGCTTGAGTCTTCTCATTTCCTCTGATTCTTTGTTTTTAAATTGTATTTATTTATTTGGCTGCAGTGGGTCTTAGTTGTAGCATATGGGATCTCCTTTCCTGAACAGGGACTGAACCCAGGCCCCCTGCATTGGGAGTGTAGGGTCTTAGCCACTGGACCATCAGGGAAGTCCCTCCTCTGACTCCTGAATCGCCTTTTTTTGGCTTCTTGGCACACAGTGTCACAGCGTGTGGGTTCACATTTTTATAATTGGTTTCTCCCTGACATTCGTTCGGTACCTCTGTCACCCCACCATCACACACATGCTTTTGCTAACTTGGCTTTCTGTCGTGTAATTTTTATTATTATTATTATTATTGGTGGGCTGGTTGTGGATGGGTGTGAAGTCCCTTTTCCGTTTATGTCCTGAGGTCTGGGAAAAGCCACGCTATGGGAGGGCTTGGGGAGAAATAGCAGCAGAACCTTCTAGGTGTAGGAAAGAGTGGAAATGCAGATACACACGAAGGGGACCAATGGGTAAGAGAGCACGGTGAGGATGCGGTTTGGTAATGAAGGACGGGCTTGGGTCTGCATGGCCTCGTTTTGGGAACGTGTTTACTCCGGGAGCAAAGTGAGGGGAGAACACAGGATGGGGAAGAAGGTTGCGGAGTCCGCTTCGGGCAAGAGCATCACAGGAGGGAATTCTTCTCTCTGTCCTGCTGGGGCCACGGCATTTCAGTCTGTCGTTTGATGGTGCTCAGGTTGGTCACTGATTGAGGGGGAGTCTGTCAGGCTTTTCCACTATAAGTGGACCCTTGGCAGCCTTTGCAATTGTTATGTACTTCATTGGGAGACTGTTTGAAACTCTCTATTTCATTTCTTACCAGACTTGATATACTCATTTTTTGGTGTCTGTGTGGACTCGTTTCCTGTTTTGTTCAGAAGGTTGTAATCTGTTACTCTCCTTTATTTTGACGTTTGCCTGAGATGCTTCCATCCTGGCTCCCTGGCACAGCAGAGGGCCCTGGGTGCATCTCACATAACCCCTCCCTTGGGCCTGCATGGGCCGTTTCTCCAAGGAGCCCTGTTTACTTTAAGGAACATCTCCTCTTCTCAAGTTGGGATCTGGGCCTGAGGTGTGCTCATAGCTGTTGGAGGGAAACGCATCGTCTGTGTCTTGTGTGTGCACGCGTCCCTGGTGGCTCAGCTGGTAAACAATCCACCTGCGATGCAGGAGGCCCCGATTCGATTCCTGGGTTGGGAAGATCCCTGGAGAAGGGACAGGCTCCCCACTCCAGTATTCTTGGGCTTCCCTGGTGGCTCAGGTGGTAAAGAATCTGCCTGCGATGCAGGAGACCTGGGTTTGATCCCTGGGTTGGGAAGATCCCCTGGAGGAGGGCCTGGCAACCCACTTCAGTATTCTGGCCTGGAGAATCCCCATGGACAGAGGAGCCTGGCGGGCTGTAGGCCATGGGGTTGCAGAGTTGGACACGACTGAGTGACTAAGTACTCATGCATGTGTGCAAGGGCATGTTTGTGCACATGTACACACATGCTCATGAAGTATGTATATTTGTGTCTCTAGGTCTGTTAAAATCCACAAGTGAGCACCAGTACCTCTGGTTTTAGTTTAGAACCAAACGGTTCCTTTCTGGTTTTCTTTGTTCCATACTAAACTTGGAGAAAGCTGGCTCCTATTATATCCACAAATTACTTATTAACCCATTTTTTCCCAGAGTGCCCCACGCCCATCTCTGCCGCCACCCTTCCCACGGGGCCCTCCTGTTTTCACTTGGCTCCAACCCCATGAGTGTGCTGCCCTATGTGTGAACACGTTTTCACCCTGTTGTGGCTCTCACAACCCAGACAGGCTTCTCTGTTCTTCATCCCCACCCTCTCACACCAGTTAGTTCTCGGCCTGAACTGTTGGCCAAAGGAAGGTAAAGGGCTGAGTTTTTTGTTTGACATTACAGTCTATTGATAGTCCTGGAGACTCTCGGGACATACAGGAGGAGGGTAATCGTGTTCCGGTGTGGACCACTTGGCCCTCACGAAGGGGAGGTGGGCTGGCGGGGCCTCCCGCCAACGTCTCCCTTGGGTTTGATGTGGCCGCTTGCGCACGGAGCCTAGTGGTCCTGAGTGTTGAGAGTGGAGATGGAAAGGACGGTGTGAAAGTCCAGCAGGGAAGAGGCGCGAGGTTGGCCGTGAGGGCGAAAGGAAGAGGGGTGGGGAGGGCGGCCGGCGGGCGGTGAGGCTGCTGTGGGGCGTGTCACTGGTGACGGGGGGGGGGGCGGGGGGGACCGGACCAGGTGCTTAGAAGGAGGACTTTGAGCCTCCTTTAAAGAAGGGATCTTTAAAGGGTCAGCAGTGCCATCAGCGACCAGGTGGCTCAGGTCACTAGGTAAAGCTCTGTGTTGGTAGGACTCTTCTGCTGTGTCTTTAATGCCATTGGAGTCAAATTTACCCTGGAGCCATGCCTGAACTCTTGACTTCCTACAGGAGGATTCACTGTTCTCGTTCTGTTCAGTTCAGTCACTCCATCGTGCCTGACTCTGCGACCCCATGGACTGCAGCACATCAGGCCTCCCTGTCCATCACCAACTCCTGGAGCTCGCTCAAGCTCGTGTCCATTGAGTCGACAGTGCCATCCAACCACCTCATCCTCTGTCGTTCCCTTCTCCTCCCGCCTTCAGTCTTTCCCGGCATCAGGGTCTTTTCCAGTGAGTCAGTTCTTTGCATCATGTGGCCAAAGTATTGGAGTTTCAGCTTCAACATCAGTTCTTGTTCTATTAGGATGTCAGAAAACTGCTTTGCCGATTATGGGTTTTAGTCCTGAACGTTTTTACCTATGGAATGAGTGTGACTTGTGTTTGGAGAGGAATTTGTGTGGACAGTGTGCACCTATTTGTGCACAATTTTGTAAAATCATATTTTCTGTGGTTTTGGCGATTGGTGGAGGACCTTGCTCGGAGAGCCATGCTTATTACTCAAGTACTTACTCAAGCATCTAGGGAAAACATCACATCTGGAGTCTTTGACATTGACAAGACTCTAGAAATAGGAGAATCACGTCCTTCATAGATAGAGTTTACTTCTTTCACTTGTCAGATGGAACAAATCTTTCAGGAAGTGAAACCTAAGATGTTTTTTAAAATAATTTTGGAGAAATGCTCTGAGGCTGGAAAATTATTCCTACATTGATGACCCAGACAATAAAACAGGTTGTGTTATTCTTTTTTAGTTGATACATAATAACGTTCTGACACAGAATGTTGTACTCTCTCTCTTCCTCCTGAACTTTTTAGATTTAAGGTATTTTATTTTAAAAGCCATGAATTTGTGAGGTCGAGTGTGTTTATCTGATATGGTTTTCCTGAAAGCCTCAAACAATAGGTGACACGCTGAGTACCTCGGGATCCTGGAAACGTGATGCTTTCGGTGGTATTAGCATATTTTAACATGGAATTGCTCATATGTTGAACTACACAAGGGTTAAATAGACAATGTCTGTTGTAGTGGCACTTTAGTAATTTTCTTTCAGTTTCAAATGCAAAATCAAGTGTTAAACTTTTTTTAGTCTTGAAAGTATTTCATGTTCAACTAGGGAAGATCAGTGGAAAAGAGGGAGAAATAGACCAAAAATTAAAAAATCAAAATACCCTTCTTTCCAGTCTCCTAGAGACAAGCACTGTTTACCACCTCCTCAGTGAAATACTGATGATCCTTCTATGTGCGTATACAGGTCCCACACCCCAAATGAAATTGCATTTTATTTTGGCAATCTGGTTTCCTGTTTCAGAATCACAAAAATACCCATTCCATCGTGTGGCTGTCTCATCATTTACCTGATTCTCAATTTACATGTAGATGTATTTCTAACTTTTAGATATCAACTGCTGGTGACACTTGTCCTCACCAGAAATCTTTACAAAGTTGATAGTTGAGAATTTGATTCACATTTTTTTACACCTGCAATCTAATTCTGCTACTGCTTTTCTGGCGGGAGTTGCAAGCCAGACATAGCTTGTCTGAGCCCCAGACTTCATGTTCAGTCTCAAGAACTGAGCCACTCCATCACCCTTGGGTGGAAGCAAGCGCAGATCCAGTAGAGGAGGCAGCCCTGATAAGCTCAGCATTGATAGGAGAGAAAGCCCAGCTGCAAAAATCATGCCGGAACCAGAGATCTGGAAATGATGCGTTGCCAAGGATTGCACATCATCTGGTCCTCAGTTATTATCCAGAACAGTCTCAGCGCTGACTTGAAATATGGAAGAGAATGGGTCTTGGGACAGAGAGAAAGCTGGCTCATGGAGTTCTTTAAGTCTCGGTGTTTATTACCCATCAGTGACCCCCAGCAAACCCAAGACCTGCTCCCCTCTCTCCACAACTTCATTGAAAACTGGGGTGAGGGGAAAACTATGCCATTAGTAATTCTGAAAAGAGTGTGTACCTGTCAACACACCAGCCTGTTGTTCAGAGATAAGAAGCTTTAGAGATTTAAAAAAAAAAATGTCTTAAGGCAGGTAGGGAGGGACCTTTCAGCTGAGTTTGGTAGGACTCTCCTTGACTGCTTAACGTGGTGACCTGAAACTTCCAAAGGAAAGCGAGCGTGATGGAGCAAGCCAGCCGATGTGTTTGCTATCTTTAAATGTCTGCTTTGGAGAGGGTCTGCATGGGTCCTGCCAGAGGCATAATTAGTCTCTTTCTTGGGGTGTAGATCTGCAGAGAAGCCGGGGGGGGGGGGTGGTGTACCATTGCTGCATTTTTTTGTCACCCGTTGTTCTTAATGAGTTCTGTTGTCTTCTCTTTGTTCTGACTATGACTATTTGCAGATTTGAAAAGCTTAACAGTGGAGCAGTGGCAGG